TATGTTCAGGTGTGTTCAGATATGTTCATCTATGTTCAAGTGTGTTCAGATATGTTCAGGTGTGTTCAGATATGTTCATCTATGTTCAGTTGTGTTCAGATATGTTCAGGTTTATTCAGATGTGTTCAAATATGTTCAGATGTGTTCAGATGTATTTAGGGTTTTTGTTTGTGTTGAAAGATGAGCTGCAGAGTTTTGGACCAGCTGCATTCGAGAGACTCCAGCTTGGATAACTCTAACATACAGAGTCATAATAAGCCAGTTGGGAGGTAAGAAAAGCTTGAACTAACCCTTCAAAACTCACTCAGTTCTATGTAAATAACTGTGGAATGCTACAGCATAGTGATGTTGATATAAAAGTTAATGAAATAGTGTTTGAACTGCTATGAAACATTTTAGATTTCATTCGTTTACTTTTCAAGACAGTAAGAAGTCAAGTTGGAGTTGGCTCCACTCACACTGTTAGCTTGATTCCCATCAGCCATAAACTCTGCCAACAGAGGTCATTCAAAGTGCTATCTTCAACAGGTAAGATATTATTTGTTCATAAATCTTCCAGGGCAGCACGGTGGCGCAACTGGCAGAGCTGCTGCCTCTCAGCGAGCAGGACCCTGGTTCAAACCCCGGTCCAGGGGCCTTTCTGGGTGGAGTTTGCATGTTCTCTCCGTGCATGCGGGGGTTTTCTCCGGGTGCTCCGGTTTCCTCCCACAGACCAAAAACATGCATGTTAGGCTGATTGGTAACTCTAAATTGTCCCTAGGTGTGAGTGAGAGAGTGAATGGTTGTTTGTCTCGTTTGTCTCTATGTGGACTTGCGACCCGTCCAGGGTGTACCTCGCCCCTCGCACAGTGATTGCTGGACATGGGCACTGGTGACCTCCGTGACCCAAAATGGAAGAAGCGGGTAAAGACAATGGATGGACGGATGGATGAATAAATCTTCCACAGAATCATCTTCACCATTAATCAAACTGTGGAATGAGTGGAGCTTGATGAATCAAACTCACATCAGATCCAGGAGAACCTTTACAACCGGAAAGTCCAGGGAAACCATGTTCACCCTAAAGAGAAGAAACATCAGAAACACATGCTGAAACAAGTTTATCAGAGAAACAAAAAGAACAATCTGAGCTGCTTGTGCTCTCCTCACCTTACGTCCATCAACTCCATCCATTCCTCTTTGACCTTTGTCACCCTGAGAAGGAGGAACAGATGAACGAATCAGACATCAGAGAAAATCAATAAAAGTAAAGATAAACTTTCCATGAATTAGATTTTAGAACAAAAGTTACAGTGAAGATTAGATATTAGAGAAAATCTCACCTTGAAGCCTTTGTGTCCTCTTTCCCCCTGCAGAAAAACAAAACACACACCATTAATTTACAGAAAAAATTATAATCTGAATATTGTAGGACAGTTTAGATCTGATGTTACCTTGTCTCCTCTGGGCCCACGGTCACCCTGAAAGCAAAAGAACACAACTTATTATATTACTGTAACAATAAGCATGATGACCCATAATTAAATCCAGAATACAACGCATCTACTCAGACATCTTCATCACAGTGTTTCAGTAAATTTGATTCAAATGTAGTCAGTTTACCCAGAATGAATATCTTTCAACAAAACTCCTAAATATTAGGGAAGCAATTATTGCAGAAAATGACAAGAGAAAGTTTACGTCTGTAAGGAGTCTATGCCATGATACATCCGCCTTTCGATGTATTACTTATAATAAAAACAATGAAAACTTGGAGACGGACATGTTTTTACGTTGTGTGAGTGTGCATGAAATCTCATGCGTATGACTAGAAAGCCAGTTTGTGTTTCATCTTATCAGCAGTGAGTTAATCTGACATTACTGAGAGAGACGGTCTGTAGCTCAGCTGTCTGTGGGGTCTTCACACTCTGACATCTAAAACGTTTTCTGGCAATTCAGAACTACTAAAATGAGCAAGCATGGAGAAACGTGAGCAAACCAGCAGAAATTAAAATATGAATATATAATGTATTAGTATAACCAACACCGTGCTACAACACGATCTTCCTTGGTTATTTCACATGTTAACACAGTTGGGTCTGACTTCAGGAGTTTTAAGAACTCTGACAATTTTTTCCATTTATGGTTTTGTTTGTTTCTTCTTTGAGAAGATCAGTCACAGAACGTGCAAAGGACTTGATCTAGTGTTTGATCTGGATACACCTTAGCACAGTATAAACCACGGTTTGTGACCTTTACAAGCAAACAATCTGTTCTGCCTAAATATGTAAAGTCCAGAGCTGCAAAAGCTATTTGACAATTGGAAAAAAGAGGAACCTCTGAAACAGTTTTACATGAAAAAAACTTTGTTGCACTGATTTTACCTTCATTCCACTGTAGCCAACTGGACCAGGATCACCAACACTGCCCTATAACATTAAAATAAACACATAAGTTCACCTGATAAGAAAAACAAATCCAAGAATAAGAGTTGACAACTTGTCTTTTTAAAGTGTATTAGCAGGTTGGGGATGCCGTTTTTAGATGAAGATGATGAAGGTGGATGTACTTACCACAGGACCAATATCTCCTTTCTCTCCTGGCATCCCCGGTCGACCCATCTCTCCCTAAAGACAAATAAAAACAAACAATGTTTACCTTGTTTCAGGTCAAGTTATAGATTTTAATTTCCATTTTCCTGGTCAGTAGCCAACCTTGGCACCGGTTTCTCCATCTGGTCCTTTTGGCCCTCCAGGAGCCTGCAGCCCAAACAATAAAATGATGAGGATTTCTCATAAAGCAAAACATACATTCCATCTGTGTTAGCTATGAGATTATTGAATAAATACTTACATTGCAGTCAAAGGAGCAGCACTACAAAAAGAAGAGACGTTAAAGTGTTAAAAGTTTGTTTAAAACAACCAAGGCAGAGCAGGAATTCCTTAAAAATACAGCGTTTACTTTGAAAGACAGTGAAAAGAAGCCCACACATCTGTTATCTGAGCCATCTTAATGAGCTCCTCATGTCATTATTTCAGCTCCTTCTGCATTTCCTCTGCAACCCTTTCCTGTTTCCTGATGGTGTGAGAGTTCAGCAGTCTGGACTTTAGTCGACTCGGAGAGCTTCTAAAACTAAACTAGAAACAAACACTTCAGATGTGCTAATTACAGAACGCTTCATTCAGATTTACTACATGAAAACTACAATATCAGTCAAATGTTTTGTGGATAAATCTGGTTTTAAGTTGTTACAGCGACAACTTCTTCTGCTTCTTCTTCGTTCGGCTTTTCCCTCTTCAGGGTCTCCACAGCGAGTCATCCTCCTCCATCTCACTCTGTCCTCACTCCAACTCCTCCATGTCCTCTCTAACTGCATCCATATATCTCCTCTTTGTCTTTTTCCTGGCAGCTGCATTTCTAACATCCTTCTACCAATATACCCACTGTCCCTTCTCTGGACATGTCCAGACCATCTCAGTCTGGTCTCTCTAACTTTATCTCCCAGTTGTTCAACCTGTGCTGTACCTCTGATGATCTCATTCCTAATCTTATCCATCCTTGTCATTCCTAAGGAGTGACCTCAACATCTTCATTTCTGCCACTTCCAGTTCTGTCTCCTGTCTTTTTGTCCATGTCTCTGTCTCCAGACCATATAACATAGCTGGTCTCACTACTGTCTTGTAAACTTTTCCTTTCACCTTTGCTGACACACCCTTTAGTTGCAAATCTCTCCTGAAACTTTTCTCCATCCACTCCATCCTTCCTGGACTCTCTTCTTCACCTCTTTTCCACAATCCCCATTTTCCTGGACAGTGAACAACAATGTACTTTAATGCAAGTCTTTAAAAAACACCTACCACATCCTTTGTCTCATTTGTCTGTAAAAAAAATAAAAAGGTAAAAGACAGAAAAAATTGGTTAGTTTTAAACCCACATATAAATATAATAATGTAAGAGAGGAGAATAAAAAATCCTTACAATGATGTCAATGATGGATCGAATGGTTTTGATCTTGGTGGATCTGGTGTCATCTGCAGCCGTGAAGTTCTGTCTGTAGTTGTGGTCTGTGGCGATGATAGACAGCCTGGTGTCCTGACGAGCACAAACACAAACATTTACTCCTTCATACCTGGAACAGGAGACTCCAGGAGCCCTGACTGTTTGAACGTGTCAAATCGGCTCGTCTCATAAAGACGAGTGGGATTCAACTCAGCTTATCGCCTCAATCAGACCTTTTTTGAGTATTTGTTCATGAATTTTAGCTAGTTTTATATTTTTTATCAGCTTTGTTTTGTTGTGGTTCTACTTTTAACTTCCTATTAAATTCAATTCAAATTATATTTATTAAAATCAATAATTTTATTCTAAATTTGTGTTTATGACATTCTTTTATTGTAGTTTTGATTTATTTTCACTTCCACTGATTTACATATTTTTCTGATGTATTGTTTTGATTTGATAACTTGTTAAAATAACATTATGAGTTGCCAATTCCTTTAGACCTCTAATATTACAGTGATAATGGTTTATTCCCTTTATGATTCATTCATAGTTTTAGTTTTGATTGTTTATTTTTAGTTTAGCTTTCATGCTGTAAAGCACTGTTACACTTCTACTAAGAAGTGCTTTATGAATGAAGGTTGGCTGTTAGGGGATATGAAATGGGTTGGTTGAATGGATTGGTTGGTTGTTTGGTTATTTGGTTGGTTTGCTGGTTGGTTGATCAGTTGGTTGGTTGACTGGCTGGTTGGTTAGTTAGTCAGCTGGTTGGTTGGCTGGTCAGTTGGTTGATTGGTTGGTTAGTTTGTTGACTGGTTGGTTAGTTTGTTGACTGGTTGGTTAGTTGGTTGGTCAGCTGGTTGGTTGGTCGGGTAGGGTAGCTGATTGGTAGGCTAGTCAGTTGGTCGGTTGTTTGACTGGCTGGTTAATTAGTTGGTTGGTTGACTTGTTGGTTAATTAGTTGGTTGACTGGTTTGTTGGCTGGTCGGCTGGTTGGTTGGTTGTCTGGTTAGTTGGTTTGTCAGCTGGTCGGTTAGTTATTTGGTTGATTGGGTAGACTGGTTGGCTGGTAGGCTGGTCATTTGGTAGGTTGGTTGGCTGGTCAGTTGGTTGGCTGGTTGGGTAGGCTGATTGGTTGGTCAGCTGGTCAGTTGGTTGGTTGATTTACTGGTTGGTTGGTTGGTTGGCTGATTGGTAGGTTGGTTGGTTGATCGGTTGGTTAACTGGCTGATTAGATGGTTGGTTGGTCAGTTAGTTGGTTGGTTGATGGGTGGGTGGGATGGCTAACTGCCTGGCTGGTTGGCTGATTGGTCAGTCAATCGTGCATTAGATTGGTTGTTTGGGTTAGGCTGGGATGAGTGGTTGGTCAGTTAGTCTAGTTGATTAATTGTAGTATCGTCCATTACATTAACCCAGCCAGACACTAAACCACAGAATTTATGCAGCGTGAACATCGACTGTCTTCATCACATACAGATCCTTTAGGTTGTCAACTGAGAACTGTATAAAGATCATTTTGTACCCACCTCAGTTTGTAAATTAGACTGACCAATGTGAGTGATAATCATTGAGTTACCTCATTTAGCTTCATGCTCTTCCCAGTTTGGCCCCATTGTTGAATTATTTCATTTTTATTAACAACTAACAAGATTGGGTCTTTTCTTGACATACCCTTAGGCTCAGTTTACGTCACCAGATAAACAAGTGTTGGTAGATGGTAACGAATTGAGAAATGGTTCTGTGGTTAGTGGCCAAAACTGCACTTCAGAGTTTAAAGACACTTATAGGCCCGCAGATTGTTTTCCATAAAAAGTGAATTAGAACCATTAATCTACTTATTCATTGTCTACATCCACTTTATCCTAGATGGTGGCAAATGGCTGGAGTCCGAGGTTAACATGAACCTTCACCAGACCACAGGGCTGACAGAATCCACAAGAAAAAGGCCCTGATTTACCTAAAGAATTTTGAATAAAGACCTAATACAGATTTTATGTTTGCGTTTTTACATCTGTCTTAAAGAAAAACAAAAGTTTCATGGATATGGGCTAACTCTCTAAATTAGTTTAAATTAAGCTAAAGAAAACTACTCACGGTAGAAACATTTGTTAAAACAGGTTAACATTTTATGAAACGTTAATTTTTTTTTAAATTTATTTTTCATTTAGCCTTTATTTATACAGGTAGTCTCATTGAGCCACGAGAACTCATTTTCAAGGGAGACCTGTTTAGGGAGCACATGGTGGGGGTTAAGGGCCTTGCTCATGGGCCCAGAGTGGGGCGAATGAGGGTGGGGGCAAGTGTGGGTGTTTCACCTACCCCACCCACAATTTTGATGTTGTCGGGGCCGGGGCGTGAACCGGCGATCTTCGGATCACAGGCCCACCTCTCTAACCTCTGCGCCACCACTCCCCCTAAATGTTCAGATGAAGCCTGGGATTGGTGTGTCCTGTACATGTGCATCTTCAGGAACCTGTGTTTTGTACCTCCTGGTCAGGTGAGATGGCCACAGCAAACACTTTAACCCCATGCTGCCGGGCTTCATTAGCAGCCTCCTGCACTCCTCCACATGGCTCTTTGTACCCAGTGATGGGATGGCCATCAGTCACAACCACAATGTACTTGTTCTCGTGGTAGTGGGAGCCCCTGCATGAAGGTGGACACTCAGATATGATGACTGCAACTCCAGCTGATGCTGCAGTTGTGCATGAGCTGTAATTACCCAATGAGCAGCTCTGCCAGGCCCCTCTTGATGGCACAATCGGTGTAGGTGCCCTTGCCGATGTATTTGATGCCATCGATAGCAGTCTTCAGGGCGTTGCGGCCGGTGTTCATGTCACCTAGTTCCCGCACAAGGATGGCGTCGTCACTGTAGTGCAGCGCTCCTGAGTTCCACATCAGGACACGGTCGCATTCATGGCGCCTGGAAAACAAAAACATTAGATAAACACAAAATTAACAAATATCCTGGTACAGATGAGATACTGGAGAGCTTATGTACATTTTATGACTGTATATTTGTCTAACAGTGTTAAACACATGCATATCAATTAAATTATCAAAGAGTTGTCAAAGCAATTTAAGAATTGTTAAACTATTATGAGGCCATGTTAGATGCACTGTCAGCATCAGTTGATGGGTGTGGTCAAATATGTTGCACCTGTAAGAACAACCAGCAATGTGTCAGTGTGTCACAACATGCCATCATCACTGTAGAAAGATGAAACTTTAAAATGTGGAAAAACTTTCACTCCTATTGGTCTGTCCGTGTTGCTTCATGAGACTGTGTGGTTGTGTGTCTTACATCTCATGGAGTTCATCTATGAAGCGTTTGGTGAACTCCTTGATCTGGTCAATATAAAAGTTGGGAGGTTTCTGTCTGAGGGCGACGCTCTCAGATGTGTCCAGCACAAAGAAAAGGTCAACAGGACATTCTGTTCATGGAGCAAACAAACATCAATCAGTGACAATTTCAGATTGAGCTACAAAATGTAAATATATCTGCACAAAAAGACAACAATCCATCTTTTCACGCAGTCAGGTCCAGGTATCACAGCACAGGAGGCCCACAGGCAGCTTAGAACACCACAGCAAGATTCATGGAGCTCATTTATCAAATATATTATGAGAAATAAAGTCTGCTCTTCTGGCTGAACAAATCAGAGCTGAAGTTCATCTGCTTCAAGTCCTCTTAGTTGGCTTTATGACCTAGGCCTACCAGAGGAGATCATCACAGGCCTGTTTACTGTGGGCCAGAGTTCTGTCTTCATGGTATTTCCAGAGTTTGCTCTTTTTCAGCTACATGCAACATGTGAGTTTGGAAAACAAACGAACAGGTAAAATCTGGTCTTAAAGGAAGCCAGCTGATTTACATGCAGCCTTGTGTCATGAACACCAAACACATGAATAAGAGCTGGAGCAACGTGTTTCATGCAAACTTACCCGCAAATCTGGATCTTTGGTTTGGCGCTTGCGCTGCAGCCATGAAAGCGCACAGGAGCACAAGGAGACCGCTGAGAGTCTCCATGACTAAACTGCAAACAAAAGCTGCACCAAAATCAAATCACAAGACACCCGGTCCCTGGAAAACAATCCCCCAAACCTCCCGGGCCCCTGAGTCTCACAGCTCTCCAGTAATTTCAACAAACTTTTGGAGACCCCCAGCGCCCCGCCGCAGTTTGTCCGGAGCGAGAACCAGAGCGCGCAGAGGAGGACCAGAGCGCACGGAGAGGAGGAGGAGGAGGAGGAGGGGAAGGAGGAGGGGTTCACTTGCTTTCTCTGTGCGGAGGATGAGCGTGCACGACAAACTTAGATGTGCACTCTGGGATCCACCAAAACGCATGAACGCGGACAGTCTGAACAGATGGTGAAGCTGTGCTGTGCTGTAGATCATGTTTTATTTGTTTTAATAATTACTTTTTATTTCACTCCGACATTACATGCACGTTATCCTGATGCATGCTCAGTGTGTGCTACATGCACGTTATCTTGATGCATGCTCAGTGTGTGCTACATGCACGTTTCTTGCAGAAAATCCAGAAAGACAAAGCAGAAAAACTGGTTTAGTGTTTGATGAGAAGCAGCTGACAAACTTCATGGAAACGTTCAGTTTTATTTATTTATTTAATAAATCTCTAGTTCCTGTGGAGGATGGAGTGGGCGGGGCTTCTACGTCTGGCTCATTTTGGCATCCAGAACCTGAACATAAAAGCAAGCTTGGGAAGATGGAGGGGGGGGGGGGGGGGGGGGTCTCCCCTGAACTGGAAGCGGGAAGAAACATGACGACATCTAGTGGTCAAAGTGTACTGATTTTGGAACTCCTTCTGGAAAAAGGTCCTGGAGTGTAAATGATGGAAGGGGTGTGTTCTGGGAGCGGATGGAGGGGGGGAGGGGGGGGGATGTTGCATGATGGTTGTGGACATGTGTGTGTGTGTCTTCAGTGTGGGACTGTAAGGAAAGTCTGGCTTGGACTCAGATTTTCCACTGAGCTCAGTGAGTCAGAGAGGGAAAGAGGACATCTGGTTGCGATCTGACTTTATTAGCAGCTCGCATCATAAATCTGATGGATGTTTTACAGCTGTGGGGCTCCTCTGTGCGTTACCACGCATTTACAAACAACTCTATTATTTTATTCTCATTCATTACAAAACAGTTAATCCAGAATAATCCTGACGAATGTCTTGGCACTGCAGCCAGGTTGTTTTCATTCAGTCTGATGACTTTGCCTTTTTTTAATATTGAAGGGAAAGTTTTAAATATGCCAAAGTCAAAGAAAGATGTAAATGTAGAGCCGTGCTTCCTGAAGCTAAAAGGCTCATAAAAGGCTGCCCAGTTTCAGAGGATCTTGATGTTCAGACAAGATTTGCAGCATTTCCACGTCAGAGAGAAGGTATGCAGCTCGGAGCAGCCTTCAGGTCTGAAGATAGAAACATCTTGCAGCGTTTAACTCATCGCCACATTTGGCTTTTAAGGACGTAGGACTGAGTGATGAGACGTCTCTGGGAAACGACTCCAAGGCTGATGAAAGGGACGATATATTAGAAGAAACATCGACACGGGGAGGAGGATAAACTGAACTATTCTGTTCCAGTTCACTGAAAACATGAAACATGACACCAAAGATCTAGCAGACACCCAGAATCAAGCATTTGTTTTAGAGGCTGAGCTACCATGAACGGTTTGTGGACTATTCCCTTCATTAGGTTTTGTTACACTTCGGATTTTGCAGTCAACAGGAAATAGGTCGGATAACTACAACTAAATATTGGTGACTTGTTTCAATCTGCAGCAAAGTCAGTGTTTAATAAATCTGACACTGCTGAGAAAATACAAGTTAAATACCAAATGCTTAACGATCACTTACTGCCATCTAGTGAAACCTTTTGAATATGGCACAGCTTTTCTTACATAAAGATTTATTAATCAGGTAACCAAGTTAATTAAAATAAGAGAAAAAGGCCAAAAACAAGCAAACAAATGTCATGTTGAGCCTCGATTTCAACATGTTGGGGTTGTTTTGCACTTCAGCAGATTTATGAATAATCACACTTCTCCTGCTTGTATCAAAGCCTTTCCAAGAAAAAACTTGCATCAGTTTTATATTTTCAGTCAAATACTACAGATACCTCCAGGTCACAGTGGAGAAATTATTTTCGGGGCGTCATTTTTGCATTTAATCTTTTATTAGACTTTTTACATTTTCTTCAAACCACATGCAGTGGCGTGGTGGTCGACAATGAAGTGCCACGTCAGGTTTCTGACAACAGCACAAATACAAGAGATAAAGACTTTACAAGCTACAATGTAAAGAGTGAACTCCAACAAGATGCAGCTGCTGGCTGGTTGGCATGAATACACCTGTGCACGCTCCTGATGGGTGTAGGCGTTATAGTCCAGCTGAGTGTTTTTAATGGAGAATGCAGACGACGCTGCAGGGCAAAAGTAGTTCATGGAAGTATTCCCGTTTGTGACTCTTACAAAGCTTTAAAATAATGTTCACTGTGACATTCAGATGGATTCATACAGAAAACAATGTCTATAAAAAGAACAAAATAAACGTGCTGGTTGTCACAGTCTGGGAACATATTTAGTTTGCAGCGAACAGTGAAACATTCTTCCCAGCTCAAGGTCTGCATGTTATATCAGCGATACTGGAGGCTTATTGTCAGTTAACACTTCAGTACCATTTCTCTTGATAGTGCAGTTTCAAAAGGTTTAGTTCAGCATGTTGATGGTGTTTAAACTCAGTTTATGTTGGAATGGCTCTTCAGGTGCCTCCTCAGGTGGTTCAGACAGGTGTAGGTTTTGGGGCAGAGCTGACAGTGGTACGGTCTCACCCCCGAGTGGTTCAGCATGTGCTGCTTCAGCACACTTCCGTCTGAGAAGGCTTTCCCGCACTGAGAGCACACGTAGGGCCGCTCTCCGGTGTGCACACGCATGTGAACTGTTACTTTGTGCGCCATTGTAAACCCTTTGCCGCACACTGTGCACTTGAAAGGCCTCTCTCCTGTGTGTGTGAGCCTGTGGGTGCGCATGGCCCCCATCTGAGAGAAAGCCTTCCCACAATCGGGGCACTCATGCGGCTTCTCGCCTGTGTGGACCCGGGTGTGACTCCGCAGTCCTCCTGCGGTGGAGAAACACTGGGAGCAGTGCGTGCACTGGTACGGTCGCTCCCCTGTGTGCGTGCGCATGTGCTGCTTCAAGTCGTAGCGGTTTCTGAAGCCCCGACCACAGACCAGGCAGCTTTCAGGTCTGTCGTCATTGTGCCGCAGCTCGTGGTTAGCCAGACATTTTTCTGACAGGAAGCACTTGCCACATTCTTGACACTGATAAGGTTTCTCGTGGTCAACTCTCTGGTGATACTTTAGCTCGCTGATGCCGGGAAACGTCTCGTCACAGTACCTGCACCTGAAGCGATGGTTGGGGCTGTACGGAAGCTGGTGTTCGCTCATCTGATGATTCCTGAGCAGGTGGGCCATCTTGAAGGTCTTTCCACAGTGAGAACACTCGTATTTCGTCAGCAGCTGCACACACTGGTGTCTGACCCGCTCGTGCAGAGACCTGAACTGAGACCCACACTTTGTACAAATGTGGGCAGCGTTTTTACACTTCCTCTTCCTGTGCCCAGACAGGTGAGCTTCAGTCCGAAAAGCTTTCCCACAATGAGAGCACTTGTAGGGCTTCACTGCCGTGTGGAACCTCTGGTGTTCAAGAAACTCAAAGCGATACTTAAAGCTGCGCCCACACAGCGGGCAGTTATGAGTGACTCTTCCTCCTGGGTAGCCGGCTTTGACAGAGGTCTTCCTGGAAGACAGCAACATGCGATGACCACTCCTCCTATATTTCCCTCCAGTCAGATGTTTCACTGTCTCCATTTCACCCCCCTCTTCGTGCCTCTGCTGATGTTTGAGCAGACACTTTGAAGAGATAAAGCTCTTTCCACACTGCTTGCACTGATAAGGCTTGTCATGGTCCACTTGCTGATGGTATTTTAGGTCACCAATTCCTGAAAAACCAGCACCGCAATGGCTGCACTTGAAAAGGCGGCTTTGAACGTGAGTTAGCAGATGTTCCTTCAGGCTGCTAGATTTTGAAAAACTTTTTCCACATTGCCTGCAGTCGTGGCTGCGACCTCGTTTAGGGCAATGGTGCCTGAATTTGTCAAGTGAAGTTGGAAAACTGTTCCCGCATTTAATGCAAAGATACGCAGCATTTTTACACTTGCGGAGCCTGTGTCCCGCCAGCAGAGTGGCTGTCCTGAAAGCCCTCCCACACTCGGAGCAGTTGTAGGGCTGCAGCCCACTGTGGACCCTCTGATGCTCGATGAGCACCGAGTGATGCTTGAAACATTTATCACACTCGGGACATTTATGGATACGTGACAACTGTCTCTCGTGAGGAGACGAAGGGATGTCAGTATTCTTTGGTGATTCTGGAAAATCGGTTGAAGTAGAAGGGTTTGTGGACAATTCCTCGTCGAACATGACAATTTGAGGGACGCCAGTATGTTCATCATCACAAGAATTTGGGTGGGAGGAGATGGCCACTTCCAGGGATGGAGGGAGAGCCAGAGATGGAATCAGAAGATCATCTGATTGAAATGGAGCTGCAGAAACAATTAGAAACATTACTCCCTATACCCCCCACATAATAAACCAAATCATCAAATTTACTTACTTACCAACAGTATTCTTTGCTAACTTTCCATGGCACTGTTTGCTCTGGAGAAGAAATTTCAGGTCGTCTCCATTTGAGACACACTGCATGTACTCCTCCAGCACTGCAGGATCAGTGCTGATCCAAGACGCAGTCTGAAAACAAGGATAGAAAATATGAAACTACAGCTGGAAGCAGCCTCGTTCCCTTGCTCCATTATCTTTTACAATCGCTTGCCTGTTTGAAATCTGGTATTGGCAGCAGCTCCTCGAGTCTCATAAAGAACTCACAAACCAGAGTCTCTAACGCTGTGTCAAAATCAGGGCCATATTCCAACGGAAACACATTCTGTTAAAAAAAGTTACTTTCATTAATATACAGACAATTTCTACATAACAAGCTGCAATAATTGCATATATTTCAAACATTTAAGATGTTTGAAGAATTATTTTATTCCTCCATGAAAATCACGTTGCCTTAAGAAAGTGTTCTCTGCCATCGGTGTCGTCAATGAGGCCTTGCACCAGCTTCATAAAGTTGGCTTCTGGAGCTTCAATCACTGGATCGCTTGTCTGGATTACAAAACAACAAGTCATGTCTACATGAATACAGAATATTTGTTCTCGTTACTTATATCTGTTAATTTTACTGGATGCCATGAAAATAGTGAAAAATGTTTATAATTCCAAATGTTGAGAATTTCATTTACTCTCCCAAAGGACAATCAAATGTTATGATTTGACTTAAAAGTTGGACAAAAGTGAAATCTACTTGTGAACTGATGGATGACCAGAATATTAAAAGTAGCCCTCACCTCCTCAGTGCACGAATGACGGATTCTGTTGAGGTGAGTCTCAACGGCCTTGAGATCTTCGGGGCTTTCAGAGCGCAGCAGTTCAAGTGTTGTCTGCAGGACATGCAGTTTGTGAGAACCACGTTGCACCTCTCTGTCAGTATTTTAAACAGGGTTCCCAACATTTCACAAAAACAAAATTCCCAGATTTTTTCTCTGAGTAAATCCTGAAATTACAGGAGATATTTCAGTTACACAAAATGCTCAGAACTCAAGAGTCTTTGGTGGCAGGCACAGCCACATTTTGAGATGACAGGAAGTATCCTGTAGCCTGCACTATGAGCGTACAGCAGTCATTCCTATTTATATATATTTTATTAAACCTGATACTAACAAGCCACCATAGCCTAAATGTAATGATGCATGTACCATGTAGAAGCACAACATGATACAGTCGTCCCTCAATATATCGTGGTTCACAGCGGTTTCATTATATCTCAGAGTTTGTTCCAATTCTGTATCATGGGGTTTTGCAGTATACAGGTGCTGGTCTTAAAATTAGAATATAATGAAAAAGTTGATTTATTTCAGTAATTCCATTCAAAAAGTGAAACTTGTATATTATATTCATTCATTACACACAGACTGATGTATTTCAAATGTTTATTTCTTTTAATGTTGATTATAACTGACAACTAATGAAAATCCCAAATTCAGAACGTCAGAAAATTAGAATATTACTATTAAAAACCAATAAAAAAAGGATTTTTAGAAATGGAGCAGCATGGTGGCGCAACTGATACAGCTGTTGCCTCTCAGCAAGAAGGTTGCTGGTTCAAATCCTGGTCCGGGGGCCTTCCTGAGTAGAGTTTGCATGTTCTCTCCGTGCATGCATGGGTTTTCTCCGGGTACTCCAGTTTCCTCCCACAAACCAAAAACATGCATGTTAGGCTGATTGGTAACTCTAAATTGTCCCTAGGTGTGAGTGAGCGAGTGAATGTTTGTTTGTCTCTATGTGGCCCTGTGATGGACTTGTGACCCGTCCAGGGTGTACCCCGCCCCTCGCAAAGTGATTGATGGACATGGGCACCGGCGACCCCCGTGACCCAAAATGGAAGAAGCGGGTAAAGATAATGGATGGATGGATTTTTAGAAATGTTGACCAACTGAAAAGTATGAACATGAAAAGTATGAACATGAAAAGTATGAACATGAAAAGTATGAACATGAAAAGTATGAACATGTTCAGCATCAGTACTTAGTTGTTGCTCCTTTAGCCTGGATTACTGCAGCAATGCAGCGTGGCATGGAGTCGATCAGTCTGTGGCTCTGCTCAGGTGTTCTGAGAGTCCAGGTTGCTCTGATAGTGGCCTTCAGCTCTTCTGACTTGTTGGCTCCGGTGTATCTCATCTTCCTCTTCACAATACCTCAGAGTTTCTATGGGGTTAAGGTCAGGTGAGTCTGCTGGCCAATTAAGAACAGGGATACCATGGTCCTTAAACCAGGTACTGGTAGCTTTGGCTGTGTGCAGGTGCCAAGTCCTGTTGGAAAACAAAATTTGCATCTCCTTAAAGTTGGTCAGCAGCAGGAAGCATGAAGTCTCTAAAACTTCCTGGTAGGCAGCTGTTGTCCTTGGATCTCAGAAAACACAGTGGACCAACACCAGCAGGTGACATGACACCCCAAACCATCACTGACTGTGGAAACTTGACACTTGACCTCAAGCAACATGGATTCTGTACCTCTCCTCTCTTCCTCCAGACTCTGGGAACTTGATTTCCAAAGGAAATGCAAAATTTACTTTCATCAAAGAACAGAACTTTGGACCACTCAGCAGTCAGAAGTGCAGCAGCGGATCAGCAGTCCCAGGCGAGATGATTCTGACACTGTCTCTTGTTCAAGAGTGGCTTGACACAAGGAATGTGACAGCTCAGCCCCTTGTCTTGCATACATGCAGCATGGTGGTTCTTGAAGCACTGACTCCAGCTGCAGTCCACTCTTTGTGAATCTTTTCTATATTTTTGGAATGGGTTTTGTTTCACAAGCCTCTCCAGGGTGGTTGTCCCTATTGCTTGTAAACTTTTTTTCTACCACATCTTTTCCTTCCCTTCCCTTCTCTATTAATGTGCTTGGACACAGAGCTCTGTGAACAGCCAGCCTCTTTAGCAATGACCTTTTGTGTCTTGCCCTCCTTGTGCAAGGTGTCAATGGTCGTTTTTAGGACAACTGCCAAGTCAGCAGTCTTCCCCATGATTGTGTAGCTACAGAACAAGACTGAGACCATTTAAAGGCCTTTGCAAGTGTTTTGAGTTAATTAGATGATTAGAGTGTGGCACCAAGTGTCCAATATTGAACCTTTTCACAATATTCTAATTTTCCAAGATACTGAATTTGAGGTTTTCATTAGTTGTCAGCTATAATCAACAACATTAAAATAAATAAACATTTGAAATATATCAGTCTGTGTGTAATGAATGAATATAATATACAAGTAGGCCTGTCACAATAACAAATTTTGCTGGGCGATTGTCTCAGAAATTGTGATAAACGATAATATTGTTTGATATTTGACAAAAATTAGTAATTGTCACATTTAAGAAGTAATGTTTGTTGTTTTGCGTGTAGTACCTATTTTCGACCACTGGATGGTGGTATAAGACTGAAATGAAGGATGGATAGTAAGGGAGGGCAGTGTGTCTCTTAAAAAAAAATGTGAGGGAGGCCCCTTGATGTGACATGGCTTGTCTCTCTTCGGTTCTCAAAATGGCTGATGCTCTGTGTGGTTTGAGCTAGTTAGCATAGCATTTTTCACACAAACCTTTAAAAATAAAATCAATAAACAAGTTCTCAGCTTCTTTTTTCAGAGCAAAACAACTTTCTACACAAAGGCACAGGTTTCAACCGTGAATTTTGGAGCTTCAACAACATGGACTCCCCCCCCCCCCCCCCAGGTCGGCCTGTTAGCTTAGCTCATAGCTTAGCTGCTTTTAACGACCGAAAAACACGATTTTTGATGGTTAAATGAATTTTAAAGAGAAGAGGAGGAGTCAGTGAAGAGTTGAGCTTTTTGTCATCCAGTATCTTCAGAAAGAGACACGAAGAAACGATAAAGTCGATAAATGAAAATGAGGTAGATAATTTTCATTTATCATGCGATTAATTGATTTATTGTTTATTGCGACAGGCCTATATACAACAAGTTTCACTTTTTGAATGGAATTACTGAAATAAATAAAACTTTCATGATATTCTAATTTTATGGCCAGCACCTGTATACTGTAAGCCACTACCCCTTGCACAAGTGGAGGAGGAAGCCACCTCTTCTCTGCCTTGTGCATGTGCTCTCCTGCTATGTCACACGGCATCACACCACTCTCAGCGTCACTTCAGAGATCAGTCCCAAGGACTTCCTCTGTCTGCTCAGCGCTTGTCACACTGGCTGTGTGAGGCTGTTTCACAAGCATATTTCCTCTGGCTCAGAGCTCACTCCGCCAGAGGAATCTCACCCTCCACGGCTCCTAAATGGCTGAAGAAAAACCCTATTTGGGAGATGATTCCTAGTCTCAGAGCAATTTATACAGACCTGGGTGGGGCCCACAAAACAGGTGGGTATGGGCTTTCAGTGCCGCGTGCGAAGGGTAAACCTAAGAGTGGGAAAGGTTTGTAGGAGTGTGGTTTATAAAGCCTTAATATATATATATAAATAATAAAATAAATATAATGCTGCTACTTCACAAATGTTTGCCTATCGTTGGGGTCTCTGGAACACAACCCCCACGATAGGAGAGGGATTTCATTCAAACTTTATTTATGCAGGTTGGTCTCATTGAGCCTCGAGGACTCATTTACAAGAGAGACCTGTTTCACTGTACTAGCAGTAAAACATGTACACATCAAATCTCAGAAAGATCATCTTTTAATCAGTAGATCAGTGTTCACACTCTGAGTTTTCCCTG